ATGTGTCCTTGCCCTCATCAGAATCAGAATACCTTATTAATCCCCAAGGAAATTATCTGAGCTTTGACTCAGATACTTTAATTAAAAACATCTTTTTAATTTTTGCAGTTTTCTGTTAACGCGCTATGCTGAGTCACTGGGTCAGTTTGCTGCAGCCTCCCAGTCCTGTAATTTCTCCCTCAGGTTTTTCCACTCGAACCAGAAAGATGTAAGTCTATCCCTCTTTGTGATTTAACTGCAGAGACTTTTACTGGATCTCCTGCTCTTACGTTACCTTCCTTATTTATCTCTCCTTTGCCTCTGTCTTCTTTCCACCAGACCTCAGAGTATATCATCCAGGCATATAAGTATGGAGCGTTTGAGAAAATCCCAGAGTTCATTGCTCTCAGAAACAGGTTAAACCAGTCGCTGCACTTTGCCCAGGTCCGCACTGAGAGGATGCTGCTCGACCTCTTCCTTGAGGCTGATATGTAAGAATATTCACACTAATTTACATAAACTTGTGGATTTCTATCTATAGTTGATTGTGATGTTGCATTTTTCTGTTTTACAGTGTCTTGAGTCTGGAAGAGAGTGTGAAGGCCATGTCTTTGTCTGCAGAAGAGGATGACATCCCCTGGGATAGTATGAGGGACAACAGAGACCTAACTGTTTTTACGTGCTGGGATCCTAAAGACAGGTATAGTCCTTTTTGGGGGGGGTTTTGGTTACAGAGACGCTGGTACTCACTCACAGTCTCCAATCCAATCTGTGCTACTCTTTTGTTTACAGACAGCTAACAGATGAACACAGACGTCAGTCTCTAGAGGAAGAGTCCATGTGGCTCAGAATACGTTCTCTAACGCTTCGCCTCCTCGCCTCATTGGCTGCGTTGGCACATATGCCCTCACAGCAAAACTCTGAGATATCTAATGAGAACGGAGTGGGAGACAAGACCTCAATTCTCAGCAGCCTGCTCTCCCAGCTGAACCAGGCTCTACAGACAGCAGCTCAGATGGCAGAAAAACACATACAGGTGCACACAAACAAGCAAGTCTCTGTTATTGTAGCGTCTTTACCGTTTAGTATAAAGTGCCTTGAGGCGACTGTATTATTTTGTACTACACAAATACATTTGAGTTGAAGTCAACCTCACTGACTCCTTTGTCCCATATACAAAGGCTCACTTCACAGCAATACATGAAAGAGAAGGCAAAGAGTGATTATTTTATTTATTTATTGTTTTTAAACATGAAAGGTGATGGCATATGCATTCTAATGAATTTGAAGGATTTTTCTTTTAGACACAAAAAAGTCTGAATCTCAACTGTCTATTTCTTAGTCCACACGTTTGCCCAGAAAATGCATCACTGATTGCACAAAATGAATTCTGTTCTCCAGGAAGGAGCCAGTGCATTAGTCTAGAGTTGTCCGATTTGAGTTTTAAAATCGTGACTGTTGGGCAACTAACAGTTTATTTTTAGATTCAAGAATCAAACAATACGAAGGCACAGATGAGAGTTTCGACCAAAGCTCTACATCATCCATATTTTCACATGACGTTTGCTGTACATTTGCGCGGACTGGAGTGCTTTGCTGTAATGGTGATGTTGTTATTCCAGTATCCATTCCTGGGACCACCCTCGACCCGTCTGGTCCTAGCTTTGTCCAGTGGAAGCTGTCAGTGTCAGGCTGCAGCCCTGCAGTTGTCTGTCCACCTACATGAGCTCGAGATGGCTGGACTTGGTAAGAAGAGACAATGGTAACACGAAGACTAACAAACTAATTGGATTTAGCCTGATAATTTTCTTCTCTCCACTCCTTATTTACCCTCCTAGATGGGTCATCCGAGCTTCAGACACAGATCTGTAACGGTTTCAAATCAATAGTAGTTCAGCTTCAAGGTGAGTCACTAGATGGTTTTCTTTATCAAAAATAAACATTATTGTACATCTGGGATGCTTCATGTTTTCCTCCTCTGTCCACAGAAATCCTGAATAAATGCAAAGGAGATTTATTGGAAATGAAAGAAGGCAAATTAAAAACCCAGCCGTCCTTATTAGAAAACCTAGTCTTCTTTGTTGAGGTGAAACATCTCAGTTTCTACACACACAGTTTACAACTTGTTTCCTACCAAATCTCATGCTGTCTATAATATGCACCACTTTATTTTGTTCAGACTGTGTGCATAGTCCTGTGGATGGCTAGTTACTGTGCCAAGATCCTTCGACCACTGAAGACTAGTTTACAGAAAAAGAAAAAGAAGAAAAAGGATGCAAACACAGCTCTGGTACAGTTGCCCCTTTCACTCCTTCCATTTTTAGGTGTACTGTATCTGCATATGGACTCATAAACAATACTCTGCTGTCCACCTACTTGCCCTGAACACTGTTGTTGTGTCTTTTCTTTTCCAGCCAGTGGTGATGTGTGGCTTCCAGGAGCTGACAGGGAATTTGCAAGACCTGCTGACACAGGCCATGGAGCATATAAAGGGCCAAGAGACTGCCATGACATCACTTAAATTGTCCACTTTAACCTTGGAAGGATACACACAGGTTAGTGCAGAGAAAAATATGTTTTTGTTCTGTTTTTGTTCTTTAAATAGAAACAAACACAGGTTTGGTAGCTGACAAAATCTCCAGCCTGTCTCAGCTGCCATAGGACGAGAGGAAGGATACTCCCTGGATAGTTTGTCAGGGCTAACACAGATAATCATTCACTCACATTCATACCTATGGGCAATTTAGAAGACCATGGGTGGAAGCCGGAATACCCGGACAGAAACGACACACACAGAAAGGTCCCGCCCATATGGTGGATTCAAACTCAGGACCTTCTTGCCTGAAACTAGTAATCATTAGATATTTTCTATTAGGATTGAATCTATACCTTAATTTGCAGAAAGACATAACAGGGTTTGGATATTACAGATCTTAAATCTTTTAAGCCTCAAATCCAAAGTTTAACTGTAGTATCTCCTGCCCGACTGTGAGGTTTCACCTCCTCTTTCATGTGTTTCAGGAGGAAGTGTCGTTTACGAAAGCTGCTACGGATAAGGTGCAGTACAGTTACCTCCGCTCCCTACAGGAGGTGGGAGATCTGCTCAAGAAGAGAACAGAAACTATAAAGAACCTCAAGATATGAACGCCATCACGCATGTCCAGAATAACTCGCCCTCGACCATCACCCCTAAATGCCCCACACCACCATCTACTGTCAGCCCACCAGCTATCCTACAAATCCTTCCCTCTTCACTGATGATGGAAGTTCCTGGGCCTCCCATGTTCTCAGTCATTTCTGACCTTGAAATTCTCACTCGGCGTTTGTGAGTTTTTGATGTCTTTTTCTTTTTCTTTCAATACACACCTCTGGAACATTTGCAACTCTTATAGCACATAAGCTTGTAATGAAATTCATGAATTTATACAACAGTTCTAAGTAAAAATGAGGAAAAGAGACATGTTCCTTTAACAGGTGCAAAAGAAGAAGAAGAAGAAAAAAAAATAAAAAAAATAAAAAAATATATAAAAATAAATAAATTAGTGAATACGCAGTTTTAGAACAGCTAATCTAATAAATTATTGTACATAATAAAGAGCAACAACCACAACTCCGTGACTAAATGAGAATATAAGACACAATAAACCACTATGTGTGTTGGTCAGTTATGTTTCCTTTTTTATTATTTTTGACTCTATTATTTTCTGGTGAGTTCCAAAAAAAGAAAAACGCAGTTGAAGGATTGCTTTTCCAGCACATTGGAGAGCAAATGGGCACAATTTTGCAATGAACTCTTTGTAACTCTTTGGACGCCTGACCGCCTGCAGGAAGCCTTCAGACTGATGTTTCCCTATACACAAATTATTGTCATCGTCATTTAAAAAAAAAAAAAAAAAATTCCTTTGCTTCGTGTACCCTGTGTGTTTATGTGACTTTAGCACTAAAAGTGGAACCACCTCTGTAGTTGCAGTATTACAAAGAGCAATGTTGGAATGAGTTACTTAATCAGGGTTGGGTTTTTTTTCTTTTTTGGGGAGGTTATTGTCTGCCGCTCTTTTTTGTTTGTTTGTTTTTTAATACTAGTGGCACCATTAGTAGAAGCGGTGCTTGTAAACACGGTCTTGTGGAATCAGGTTGTTCCAGCACAAAGAAGAAATCAGGCTTCAGAACTTTTAGAGACAGGAATGATTAGAATTATTTAAGAGACCATCTATGACTATCATAACATGAATGTTCACCAAAAACATGCTTTCTGTTGAGGCTGCGAATATGCAACTGCTTGAATTTGCGTTGCTGAAGGAAAAAGAAAAAGTGACAGTTATAAAGATAAATGCAAAGGAGACTGTGACTAGACTGGATATACTGACACTCATGTTCATACTAGACCAGATTATATGTCCAGCCAATATGCAGCTTCATAGTAACTGTCCTGGGACAACTCTTCTGTCTCAGGTGTGTTTCACAGGCAGACATTGGACCTAATTGTAAATAGCTGAAGCAGCCTTTTTTTGAAGTACTGTGTGTGAGTGAGGACTTCAGTGTGTTTTTAAAAGCAGGTGCAGTAGATGCTATGAGATTTGTCCTGTGTTAATGGTTTTGTCATTCCCGCTTTATTCCCTCATCTTCCTTCCTCCCCCTACTAAAAGACTCGTGAACCAAAATGGTGTCATCAGCTGCTGCATCTTCCCAATTTGTGCAAAATTAGCATCTTGTGCTGTCATCAGTAAACAGGAGGTGGAGGAAAGAAGCAAATGGAGGCATAGTTTACAAATACCAAGGGGCACTGATGGCACTGCAGGTTGTGTGCAGTTTTATTTATACTGTTGTAAGAATTTGGCACAGCAATGTGAATATGTGAGTAAATGACAAACTCTTCCCCTTCCTGTTAGTCCTGAATATACATTCAGTGGCATACACATCTGCTAATAAATGCCTTTTTTTTTTCCTTTTTTTTTCTTTTTTCTTTAAAGAGTCGAGCCCATCTGTTTGAGTGGTTGGACAGAAGGTGTCTGTGATCTGATTACATGTGTTGAGAATAATGGTTGACAATCTGGAGTGTCATCTTGCCACCCTCTTTTGTTAGAAAATGGAAAACAGAAACACTGGAATGTCAAAGCTTTTTTAAAATAAAACAAGGTAAATGTGAGGATTTTGCTGTATTTTATGTTTTTGTTATTATCAACACTAGGAAAAGTAAAAGTCTGCTTTAGATTTGGACAATTTTCTAAATTGTAGTCCTACAGATGCTTGTTTCAGACACAATGAACTGAAACTTTGGAAATAAGCCCAAAATACAAGTACAGAAAATTGATGTTATTTAGTTAGTCAGTCCATGGTGATTAAACCCAAATCATGAAGTTCTCCTATACACACAGGCAACAGTAAGCTTGGATGAAACGCTGGGAACAGAAAATAATTTTTAAACAAATTATAAGAACCACTCATACAAAGGACCTCAAACCCAGGATGAAGAGTGTAATAGAAAAGTTGACACAAGATGATGAACAAAACTGGAGAGAAGGTAGAAAACCCACTGTGGTGACACCTTAAAGGGAGCAGCCAAAATAAGATGATGATGAACATCTGAGAGTGTGGAGACAGAACGTGGCATTTGAACTCCATGTCAGCTATCAGTATTTAAAATGAAGATGATGGAAATTTTGGGGGCCTTTTGGTTGGTGGAAGATATTAACATTTCAAGGTAAAATTGAATATTCATATTTTGGCGGGCATATATATTATTCAGAAGTCTCTAAAGAGGTTCTGAGGCAGGTTTTATCTGAAGACCAGCATATGTGTTTACTTGTCAAAGGTTTCTTGTAAGGAAATAAAAGAGACTGCTCTATAATGAGAATGCACTTCAGTCATGAGTGAGTCAGTCATAAAAATGTCAATGTGCTACGACAAAGGGAGAAATAATGTGGGACATTTTGCCTTGCAATACAAGGAAAAACACCTTTTCCTGTTAAAGTCGTCATCATCATCTTTTTCTTCTTTTGGCTGCTCTCTTTAGGGGTCGCCTCAGCAAAATAATCTGCCTCCATCTGTTCTTAGTATCTTTTTCTGTCACACCACAGGGGAAAAAGGAACACGAATTTAAAAAAACAAACAGCAGAGGGCAGTAATACGCCGCTGTAGCGTCTACTCTGCCTTACTCAAATTAAAGAAGAAAAAGCTGAAGAAGACGAAGAAGAAGGGGAAGTGGTTCGACACAGCTAGCTTGTATTAGCATTCAAAACAAATCTGATTTGTGTTTTTATGCGCGGAAAAGAAAGAAAAAAACTGTGCATAAAATGAAAGTTTTGAAGCTAAACTGAAAGCTCTTTGCTTCTGCTGTATTTGTCTGCTTACTGTAATTAGACACGAACTGAATATCTTGCCAGTCATCCAGCTAGCTCTACGTGCTAGCTCTTTTAGCTCAGCTGTCAGCGGCTTGTTTTGTTCTGTGTTAAGTGGCATCCCCAGTTATAACACATGAGTGTGTCGCTGGTCGTTATTCGTCTGGAGTTAGCCGACCAGTCACCTTTTCCACAAGGTTTCCAGTACTGCGCTGGTGAGTTTTATTCTCTTAATTTTCAAATATCTGCTGAAAGTTAAACAGCTAACCAACAATAGGTGTGAAGACCCATTTGTCCACTGTTAGTCGTTTTACTGTTTTCACAAGGTAATTTCAAACTAACGAATTGCTTCATTATAGCTAATGCCTGACTCTGTTCCTCTCGTGTGCAGTTGAAGGCATGTCAGAGGAGGAGCTGCAGGAGAAAGCTCTGGGTTTAGCCAAACACAGTCTGAGTGGAAAAACCGACCTGGAAAGATCAGCTGTGCTGCACCAGCACATTGGCAGCAGAGCCATGGGGGACATGGTGATAGAGACCTTTGAGCCCAGCCCAAGTAAGAATTTTCCTGATGTTTAAGTGTACCTATATATGACATAAAATATGAAAAGCATAAAAGGTCAGCTCTGAGTGCAAGACTTTAGTGTTTTTATCACACTGAACCTAATTCAGCATCTTAATAACTATTAATGTCAACGTTTGTATGGTTAGTAAATAATATTTCTTATAAAGCCAGGTAGGTAAGAAATAACAGGGAAGAAAATGAAAGTGTAAAATACTGACACCAGTAAAATACACTATCTTTTCCATATGTGGTCATCAGGTGACTGTGTATCATGTATAAAACACACAATACTTTCTGGCTATTTTGTTAGGTTTACACCTACTATGTCAGGCCCCTTTTGCATCCAGACATGCCTTAATTCTTCATTGCACAGGGCTAACAAGGTGCTGGAAATGTTACTCAGTTTTTGGTCTAGAATCTATCTATTTGCTAGCTACGCATTCGTGACACATATCTCCCGTTCCACAACATCCTAAATATATTGTATTGCAGCGGTCCCCATCCTTTTTTGTGCCACGGACCGGTTTAATGTCGGAAAATATTTTCACGGACCGGCCTTTAAGGTGTCGCGGATAAATGCAACAAAATAAAATGATACGACCAAGACAAAAACTGTTGTATTTTATAAATATAATAATAAATGCAAATTCACTGTGTAATTGTGTAACTTTATTAGCAGTGTCCTCCTGAAATGCGCCAACAACATTGAGAGTAACATCCTCCTCTCTGCCCCTTAATGCTCTTCGGTCACTATGGTAATGCAGAAATATTTCTTTCAAAATAAGACACACAACTACAACACGGGAAAAGACCCAGGGAAACCAAGGTAACGATAAAAACCCTGAAAACCATAAATTTCACAGCAGAGCTGCAACTCTCGCGGCCCAGTACCAAATGACTCACGGACTGGTGGCCCCAGGGTTGGGGACCGCTGTTTTATTGGATTGAGATGTGGTGTCTGTGAAGGTCATTCTCCCTGCTGGAAGCAGCCATCAGAGGATTGAAAATAGTCAGCAGCAATACTCAGATCAGCAGCTGTGGTGTTAAAACGATGATCAGTTGATACTGAGAGGCTCTTGACTCTAAATGTCCCAAGAAACTGTCCCCCACAGTATTATTCTGCCACCAGTCTGAACCATTGATGCAAGCCAGGATCCATACTTTCATGTTTTTTGCTTGAAATTCTCACCTTACCAGCCAAATTTCGCAGAAGAAAACTAGACTCATCAGAGCAGGCAACATTTTTCACATCCACCTAACTGTTTGGCTTTGGTCAGTCTGTCTGAATTGTAGCCTGTGGAGATGGATGTGCTGGAAAATCCCAGTAGATTATCAGTTTCTAAAATACTCATACCAGTCCTTCTGGCACCAACAACCATGACATGTTCAAAGTAATTTAAGTCACCTTTGGCCTCCATAAATAAAATGTGCCATTTATACATATTCATCCTCTTTCTTGTCCTCTCATTTCTTAGTTTGTAGAGCCTCAGTTTCTCTTTTCGCCTCTACTCACATCTTACTTCATTCCTTCCGAGAGATGTGAGCTGAGGAAGCAACGAATTTTAAAGCCATTTTAAATAATTAGAACATTTGGCGTATTTAGGCGTAGAATAGGCCTGCATGTCTATTCTACCTGTTTTTATTTATTCTTGTAAGCAGGAATGAAAGGAAGTTGGTTTTGTCTGTTCATACACATTAAAAATATATATAATCTAAATTGCTGAATTTCTCTTCCAGACACAGGTGGACGTGAGGAGCGGAACAGTGAAATTCAGGATGCAAAGACTGGTGTAGACAGTCAGGAGGGTGCAGAGGATAGGAGGTTTACGACAGGCACAGCTCCGGACTCACCCTCCAAGCAGCTCCCGGACCAGATCTCTTTCTTCAGCGGGAACCCGTCAGTGGAGATCATTCACGGTATCATGCACCTCTACAAGACCAAGTGAGTCTCATCTGGTGTGTTTATGACAGATGTGATGAGGTGAACAATAGGGATCTGTATTTGGGCACTTTTTATCAGATCATTGTCGGCTAAATTGCAGCTGATAAAAGTCTGATGCTTTCTTTATCGAACTCCAGAGTCCACCTCAAACTGCATGTAATGATACAATTTCACTTCCACCATTTCAAGCTAACATTGACGTTTTAGTCACAATTCTTGTTTTCTTGTTTTTCCCTGCTCTTTATTGCAGCAAAATGACATCACTGACTGAAGATGTCAGGCGCAGCGCTATGGTGTGCATCATCACCGTCCCAGCGACCATGACCAGCCATGACCTTATGAAGCTCATGGCTCCTTTTAATGATGTCATGGAGCACATGAAGATCATACGGGACTCTACCCCTAACCAATACATGGTTCTCATTAAATTCTGCACACAGGTATCATCTCCTTCACTTTTCCCTCCGCAAGTGAAGTTTGAAGGATGTTGGTGTATGTTTTTGTAAGCCTGCATCAAAAAATTCAATGAATAGTAATAATTGTTGGTACTTGATGTGAGGTTTAAGCAGTTCAGGGTTTTCAGCCTCTCTGTAACATAAACAAATGCTGCCATATTGCAAAATGTTTTAGTTTTGTTTCTCAACTATAGTAATATTGATTTTTACAGTTTTATTTTATTCTCGCAGTTTTTTGGCAATAGACCTTGGGATTTTGATCAATTCAGAGTTCTGAGAGCTTCATGGTTAGAGATGACAGAGTATTAACTGCTGCTTTAATACAATTAACTGTACATAACTGTTCCAAATACAATACGTTTCCGGCTCTCTTATTTGTAGGCAGACGCAGACAGTTTTTACACAGCATGCAATGGCCGCCAGTTCAACTCTATAGAGGAAGCAGTGTGCCAGCTGGTCTATGTGGAGCGAGCAGAGGTCATCAAGTCTGAAGAAGTGAGTGATTTTTGGTTTTTAGCTTTTACACATTATTCAGTCTGCAGCAGGTGGGTGGTGTTTGTGAAGTTATTAGAGGATATTTATCTGAGAATATTAGAGATACACGTTAGTTAATGTTACAAGTGCATTGGTGGGAACAAAAACAAAAAAGTTTGGTGATTTGTGGAAACAAGTCACTTTTTTTTTTTTTTTTTAAATGGTAAATGGTAAATGGCCTGTATTTATATAGCGCTTTACTAGTCCCTAAGGACCCCAAAGCGCTTTACATATCCAGTCATCCACCCATTCACACACACATTCACACACTGGTGATGGCAAGCTACATTGTAGCCACAGCCACCCTGGGGCGCACTGACAGAGGCGAGGCTGCCGGACACTGGCGCCACCGGGCCCTCTGACCACCACCAGTAGGCAACGGGTGAAGTGTCTTGCCCAAGGACACAACGACCAAGACTGTCCAAGCCGGGGCTCGAACCGGCAACCTTCCGATTACAAGGCGAACTCCCAACTCTTGAGCCACGATCGCCCCAGTCAACAATAGTCAACAGAGTCCATTAACAAAAACTTGGTTTGGTTTGCTTTGTGTTTTGTAATTAGATCCTGTGTTTTGGGAGATAGAATTGCTTTACAATTACTTACTTTTTTTGTCAGTGGTGTCTGGTGTGAAACAGCTGGTTTACAGCAGGCAGTGTGCCAAAAATGTTTTAATATCACATTGACCATAACTTATACTGATTTTTTTTTTCCTCTAAACTGCAACAGTTTCTAAGAACTGCATTTAAATATAACCCCTTTTTGGCATTTTATATTACTCATTCTGCTTTAATAAAGGTGCTTTTGTCATCTTATGGTGTTATTTTTGTGCCTCTATTCTGAGCACATGTTAAAAATAAAAATTGCAAGCGCAAATGTTGCATTTTGAGGAGAAAATAATTTTGAGTGAAGAAAAGTATTTCAGTGTTTGCTCTTATCCATATACACTCACACAATAACAGTCCCTCTTGCTCAGTTGTTGGATTTGCTCAGGTCTCTGCTTTGTGTGCTGACAGACATCTGTGGACCTGCTCTCAGTGGGTCGCTTTTCCTCTCAACATATCTGCTCTGTGCATTAGCCACTGCATTCTGGAAACACGGTCCAGAATGTAGCTAAATCTAGTGGAGTGATTTAGTTTAAACTAGATTAAAACCAGCAAATAAATAAATAAATAAATAAAAATTATATATTTTAAAATATAATAATTAAACATACTAACCGAAAATGGATTTAGCTACATTCTGGACCGTGTGTTCGGAATGCAGTGGCTAGCAAGCTGATTGGCTCTTTTGGTCTCCAGTCAGAATTTTTGCATCCAAGTCTGGTTGGTTTTGTGGCACACTTGTAACGGCTTACAGAAAGAATTGAGCATGCAGGAAGCAGGGATGTTGAGAGCGGGAACGACACACTGAGAGCAGGTCCACAGATGTCGGTCAGCACACAGAGCAGAGATCTGAGCAAGAGCAAATATCAACAACTGAGCGAGAGGGGCCGTTATTGTGTGTGTATATGGATAATGGCAAACACTGAAATACATTTCTTGCATGCAGCAATGAATTTTGTTCGCTCAAATTAAACTTTTCTTCCCTCAAAATCATTTTCTCCTCAAAATGCAACATTTGCGCTTGCAATTTTTTTTTACATGCACTCAGAATAGAGGCACAAAAATAACATTATATCATCTCACCTATTGGTGTTTGCTGTTTACACCCTTTACATTGTGTGCAGCCAGAACGAATATAAGTCCGTTTAAATCAGTCCTTTTCTGTTGTTTCAGTATTAAAACCCAGAATTTTTTTAAAGTGATTTCTTGTCTCTTATCATCAACCTCCTTTCTTCCGTTCTTTCCTTCCTGCTCCGTCTCCTCAGGGAGCCAGTCTTCCAGTGATGGAGCTGACTGAGTTGCCCAAGTGCACTGTGTGCCTGGAGAGAATGGACGAGTCTGTTAATGGCATCCTCACCACTCTGTGCAACCACAGCTTTCACAGCCAGTGTCTTCAGCGCTGGGAAGATGCCTCGTGAGTTGAATGCACATACAAGTTCCCCTGTATTTACTACATCAGTTTCAACTTGGTAGTTAGCTAATTTTTGCTTACTCAATTTAAAACACTTGATATTAGACAATAAAACCTATTTCTGACTTACTTTAACAAAGTATGTGAAAAGATCTGTTCTTATCTGCCAGCTTTAAGTCAATCATGTCTGATAGTTTCTCTGATGTAGTTTAAATGCATTCACCTGATATTCACTCCACTGGATATTTCTCCAGGCTTTGTCGTTTTGTGCCATGTGTTGTTTTTGTCCTGCTCTTTACATGCATTCTCCTGATTTACAAAAGACAACTGCGTGTTTGTGACAAAGCCGAATGTGTGTTGTTTTCAGGTGTCCTGTATGTAGGTACTGTCAAACACCAGAACCAGTTGAAGAGAACAAATGCTTTGAATGTGGAGTGCAGGAGGTAAGCTGTTTCACTCTCCCACAGTGGTGTAATAGAAGATAATCACTTGATCTTCTTGCTTTTTGCTTTTAACCTTCTTTTTTTTTTTTGTCCCTCATTGAATCTTTCTTCATAGAATCTGTGGATATGCTTGATCTGCGGTCATATTGGATGTGGTCGCTACGTTAGCCGCCATGCCTACAAGCACTTTGAAGAAACACAGCATACCTACGCTATGCAGCTCACCAATCACCGAGTCTGGGACTACGCAGGAGGTACTGGATTTTGTGCATGCTGCTGTTAAAATGATGCATGTTCTGCTTTTTCTTATTTTCTGTTGTACTTATACTGTTACAGCAGTTGATGCTCATATACTGTACTGGAGTTCAATATTGGGCTCAGCCTTCAGACTGCTTTTCAGTTGCTAAATGTATGTTCTTTCTGTCTATGTTATAGAGAAAGAATAGCTCTAATATGGCCATCTCAGTCACAGAAGTCTAACCTCATGTGCTATATCTTCAAAACTTCTGTTTACAAGGGCAAACCTATCACCAGAAAGCTGGTTTTAAGGGAGAAGAGATAAAACACTTTATACAAAGTTATACAAAGATTATTTTGAACCGCAAACCAGGCAAAGTTGTTGGTAGACTCCAAAAACAAAAAGTATGAAGCTGAAAATGAGCAGAATGGTTTCTCTTTAAGGAGGGTGGCTGTAAATTACCAGAATAATTTGCTGCTATAATCAGTTTTCTCCCCATAGGGGGCAGAAGAATACCTAAATAAGTTGGAGCCAGACTCATTATCAGCTTTTATGAAGTCCTGATAGCAAACAGTTCTGCCCTGTAGTAACTAGAGAGACAGTGAAGCCAAAAACAAGAAGGCAAAGTGTAAAAATGACAGAATAGTCTGTAATGATTTTATTTGATGTCTTTTGAAATGTGTTTTGGAAAGTATAATACCTGACTAAGGCTATTGCTGGTATTGTAGATAACTATGTACATCGGCTTGTGGCCAGTAAGACTGACGGGAAGATGGTGCAGTATGAGTGTGAGGGAGACACCTGCCAGGCAGAGAAAATTGATGCACTCCAGCTAGAGGTGAGCATCTGCTGTTGTTGTTTTGTAACGGCAATCGACATCAAAATGTTCTAAATGAGTTCTCTCTGTCTGCAGTACTCATACCTGCTGACAAGTCAGCTCGAGTCTCAAAGAATTTACTGGGAGAATAAGATTGTTCATCTGGAGAAGGAGACAGCTGAAGAGGTACTTGTGGACAAATGCAACACAAGTTTTGCAATCCCTTAATGAATATTGACTTATATCAGGCTGTAAAGTTTAGAAGAACCAAACTGAGGCATAGAAGTCGAGCTCTAGATTCCACTCGATTTACTGATACACATGGATGGTATGGTAAATGGACTGATTCTTATTTAGCGCTTTTCTACTCTCCTGGAGCACTCAAAGTACTTTATACAACATCTGAACTAATAATCACAAATGAACAATTCATAGCAAACACAACTTGTAAGTTAGACTGTGTTTCATCATGTTCTCTTGCTGACAACATCTTGAACAGTATTGGCTTATATCTACTCATGGGAGAACTGTTGAGAGCAAAGGACTCACTAGCTGCCCCAAATACAATGAACAATCGCCACAGACACTAATATAACTTATCACTTACAGCTACTTATTCACTTATAAAATGTACATTTCTTAGCAGTTTAGAGTGGATTGGTTTGCTAAGCAGCACATGTGCAGTAGTATAGGACCCCAGTCCCGGCTTAGTCCTCTTGACTAGTGCCTGTCCATCTCGATTTATCTATTGCCCTCTTGTGGAAATGCAAAACACAGGTCCTTTGTCCCAGCTGCCTTTTTCTAACCTCTATCTTTTTGTACATATTTCAGATAAACAACATGAAAGCGAAATTTAAGGAGACATTGGAGCGCTGTGATAACCTAGAGCGACGGTTAGGAGAAATGAGCAAAGACAAACAGAGCATAGAGAAAAAGTAGGTGTTCGGTTACTTTTTTATATTGTGTGTTCAGTGGTCCCAGTAGTTGTTGGTATCTGTGCTCTTTTTTTTATGAACCAATTGGACAGTGTGGTTGCACTATAGACTTGAGTGTATAACGCAAACTAAAACTCTAAAAATTATTTAGTGGAGGAGATAAAGTTATATCCCCACAGCACATAAAACAATTCAACCAAGGCTCTCAATATGTAGTCTTGAGGTGGGAAAATTCCTCATTTCCTTAGCAAACGATTGTTTGACAGCTGAAAATGCCCTAACAAGCACTTACTCAGATCCCATTTTCGTGTTTTTTTTTTTTTTTTTTTTTTTTTTTTTAATAACTGGAACTACAGAGGAAACAGGATTAAATGCCTTATTTGAAGAGTTGTCATTGTGGCTTGCAAAATGTGCAGTGGAGCAGTAAATCTTTGTTGCTGCATGGTCAACCAGGTATTGGGTGTGTCACTTCTATGATGCAGGCTCAAATTGATAGTAACATTGCTTTTCCTGCTATAACAAGCCAAAGTTTCTGCTGTTAAAAGCTTTATTTACATTACAACTTCTTAGTTTAGTTAAACCCAATCAGACACCCAGACTTTAGACCAAATAATCTATAGGGCTTGTTTTTGTATGGAACCTGACAACATGCAGCACTGCTGCATTTCTACTTTCAGATACACTCAGTTGAACAGTCGAGTGGTGAAACTGAGCCAAGAGCTGACGGAGGAGCAGGAGATGAACCGCTGTCTGAGAGCCAATCAGGCACAGCTGCAGGTACAGCTGGCAGAGGAGGAACGCAAAGCAAAAGAAAGCGGTATGTAAAGAGAGACCAATAAGTCATGTAGTAGTACTCAATATTGATGCTCTGTATTAACTCAGTGGGTTGAAAACTGTAGCATGCTGGTATAAACAGTTTTATCACAGTGGTGATATCAAGTTGTCGAAGCACAGCAAAAAATGGAACTTCTGAGGATGTTGATGCTTCAACTGAGGAAAAAACAAAAACGCTTCAAGTGCTGGACGTATTATTTTGTCAGCCTGCCAAATTCACAAATGAAAGAAGCCTCAGAGTGAACAATGCAGTGCAATATTTCCATGATTAATGTGTGATTTGTATTTTTTTTTTTTTAAACCGTTGTGATACCCTATGTTCAGAGTAACATATACCAACAGGGAAGTGTAGCATGTTCAATTTGGCACAGCATGTTTACACATGCTGATAGAAGAATTTAATTTAGACTTTTTCAAGGTTTTCTTTAATTGGCATTAAATAGCACCGGCTACAAATAAATGTGAATCTGAATTCTTTGTACACTTCTTGTTAGTTTTCATTTGTATATTTTTAATTTTAGTGTGTATATGCTCCAAATGCATGAGGTAAAGGCAATTGGTACAACACTGGTGGCCAGAGTACAGAAAGGATTATTTTAGATATTTTAACTTCAAGCCTGCTAGTTCACTATTGCATCACCTATTGCTTTAAACAGAAACTGATGAAAGTAGTTGCGAATCTAGAGCAACGGGTTGGTGGAGAAGAATGAGTAACAGGACCGTTCCCAATGATTGGCTGCTGGTTGCTTAGAATATGTAAATACTCAAAATGAAAAAAGGACCTTTGACTATGAAACAGCATGGGTTATTTTTATTTCAGGGCTGTAGTGAGAAACTAGTTCCTCTTTGCACAGAAATATTTGCAAATCATTAACAAATTGCTTAGCCTGCGGCTGAGTACAGTCATTCTGCAAGCAGACAGGAACCACATACACCAAAGAAGTGTTTTTAATATAGATGGGGACAGAGTCAAACACTTAGGAGATTCATAAATTTTGTAAGCAGTCTCTCTGCTTTCAAACCAGCTTCAGTCTATATTTTCAGATTATTAAAATCTTCTTTACTTATGATTAAAATCTGCAGTGTAAGGCATTTACTGACACCTACTTTGTAGTGTATTACTATCAGAGCACCATTTGCTCTGGACTCAACACAAGGCGGCTTTCATCACTGTTTTGCCTGAGGCAAGTTAAGTATCAGGTCAGAGGTTTGAATGGAAATTTTAGGTTTACAGTTTCACCATACCTGTATTTTTCCTGGCACACACAGTTGTGAGGATCAAGATTATTTAAACAAATATCCTCCTGGGCATGTGCTGTGTGTTAATGTAGAAAAAAAATATAGTAAAAATGTCAGAGTTTTGACTCTTTCACAGAATGTTATATTCTAAATGGACTGGACTTGCATAGCAGTTTGCTACTTCAGGCACTTTTTACTACAAGCTTCATTTACCCAATGTCGTGTGTGTGTGGGTGTGTGTGTGTGTGATGTATTTGGGGGTAAGCTCAAGGTTCAGCCTCTTGCCCGGGGATGCTTTGAAATACTTTGGAATGCTGACTGGGGGGGTGAACCACAAAGCTATAGTTAATAACCTGCTCTGCCTCCTGAACCACAGACATACATGTTCTTTCCTGTTAGAACTGACTGGGCTCGAATTGAGGTGATCACAGTCCTCTTGAAAAGGCTGTGCGATATGACCAAAATCTGATATCCTGATATAAGAATGTAACATTTTCTGTAAATTTTGTGAATCTCGGGCAGCTCGTCTTGCGTGAAGTGTTTCCATCTGCGCGTCATGTAGCTGGAGTTGAGTGTTTTAACTGATGCATGAAACGATACATTTTTAGACATAAGTTGTAACGGCTGCAGTTTTCTTTGTGAGTATTTATAGGTAGGTGTACTGTGGGGAAAAGTCTGTTCTAACATTTGAGTCTATGGTTAATTTTTTAGCACATGGCGGCTCTTTTTTAATTCTCATCCGTAAATAATTTGCTCTTTCACGTGATTCAGTTTATTTTGAAAAGTCTCAACAGAATCGTGAGCTTTATTGTGAAAGGTTTATGTGGAACATAAACAAGCGGACACGCGATGGTGTTACCGTCGTTGTTGCTAACCACAACGCATAAAAACAGGGGCTTGTCCGTCTGTAGTGTGTTTATATTAAATATAAGAGAAAGAGAGAACTTTAAGAAATTAATATAGCCACTACAGTGACCATCAAAACGATGAAAAAATATTGCCATGAACAGTTTCTTTTGCGACACCACGAAACAAACGATAGCGTAAAATGAAACGATAGACGTTTTTATATCATCATCCGATATATATCGTTATATCGAACAGCCCTACCTCCTGCTCATATTTCACTGACATGTACTGACAGATGATGATCTGATCATACAAGTTCACCATGTTATGTTGAATTTACTTTGCGAGCTCTTTGTGTTATATGAATCGAGCTAAAGCAGCATTTTATAGACGAGCTGTTTCTGTTGCTTTGTTTTAAATTATTTTGAAAGCTAAATGAGATTTCTTTTTCTTCAGAGCTGACCCAGAAATGGCATCTTCTTATTAGGGGTGCAATGATACACAAAATTCACGGTTCGGTTCGGTTCGATGCTTTAGTGTCACGGTTTGATATTTTTTCGATACAAAATAAAGTTCATGCCTTTTTAATTTGTCATTTATTAAAATTATAAATATATATTTTAACGCAAAAGTACAGTTTTTAAATTTAATGTTGCTGAAACAACAAAGTAATAAAAAAATCTCTCTGATCGAGAAATCACTCATCTTTGGAAAAGAGAGTTTATTACAGAGAAATTGCTCTTTCCAAAATAAAAGCTATACTATACGCTTCTTCTGGGCTATATTCTCAGCAGCATATTAAACATATCAGGTCCCCATAAGGAGAATCATGTGCTAACGGTCTAAATGACTCGGGTAAAGTTTGTAGTATGCGTGCTTGTTGTTTTTGTCTGCTTCCACTTGTCTTTGCACTAGGATGTTGTCGGAGTAAATGTGCAGTCATATTCGTTGTGTTCCCACTAGTGCTGTCAGCGTTAATCTCGTTGAAATGACATTAACGCCACAACACGGCAAATCTCCGTTAACGAGCTACCGCGGATCGCCCCGTGCGTGGGGCTGGACGGCCAACACGTTAACGAGCTAACTGCGCTAACACACTAGTTCCCACCAATGTAATTGAGCATTGCGTGGCACATCCAACATACTGTTTTACTTTAGTCCATGATGCGCTTACCTTTAGGGTCATACGTCACATGAAAACCAAAATAGTTCCAAACGCCAGATCTGAATGAGGGTGGGGGAGGTTCAATTTGCCATGTTGCAAGGAGAGCTTAACTTCTGTCTCGCTAGCTTCCCCTGCGCTCAGTGAATCTGCGTTCGACTACTCCGCCTAGGCTGCACTGTCGAGCGCAGATCCACTGAGCGCTCAACACAGACAGCATCGTCAGAAGGAAAGTTGATAAAATAAATTAAAAATTTTGTATTGTTCGATACATATGCGTACCGAACCGAAAGCACTGTATCGAACGGTTCAATATCGATACGAGTATCGTTGCACCCCTACTTCTTATGTTCTGTAAACTTTAGTAACTGAACTGCTCTTTCAGGTTTTTGCAAACAGTGCAGCCATTGATTATGTTAACACAGTGATCTGTTCTTGGCAGAGGTATAGCAGTCTTTTCTTTGTTTAGAGTAATTGTGGTGCAGCTTCATTTATTAGCAGCTGATATGCAGGTGGTGGATATGCAGAAATCAGTAATCTGGGTTAGGAACGGAAAAACTTAATCCACAGTGACATAAGTGTGACAGCATTCTAATCAAATATTAGTATCACGTCCAAGACTGGTAAAATCCAAGACTGTGGAGTTGACTTAGGACAGCTGAATGGGATCAATAATATACCAACCAGCTTGTCTGTATGAAAACACCAGAAGTCGTTTTGGGGTGGCAGTCGGCTAAGCAGGGTATTAAGAAGGAGTATCCTTTCTCCCAGTCACACTTTCACAAGTGTCACAATTTCTTGTCTGTCTTCAGAACGCCTGCGGTACAGTGCCAGCATGATATAATGATAATCACCTTTGCCAGTCTCAGCTTTCATTTGTTGTGATTAATTAGCTGACATATATGGCAACACTAATACATCAGCGATAATGTTTGCTAATAATAACAGCTGAAAGGCAGACCTCCAGTGATGTGTGGAATGTGACGTGGTTGTTGGAGGGTTGCACTTTTTTTTTCCTCCCCCATTTCTTCTATTTTGTGTGTGGCTGAGAATTTCCCTCCAAGATCTGTGACTTTACGCCCCTTGTTTCCTCGTCGTATACTGCTGATCAGCACAGGAAATAGAACACTGAACATTGTATTTCACATCAGCTCTTAGGGAAGAAATTATTTAGATTGTCAGCTTCAAATCAAAATCAAATCACTTTTATTGTCACATCACATGTGCAGGCACACTGGCACAGCACATGCGAGTGAAATTCTTGTGTGCGAGCCCCACAAGCAACAGAGATGTGCAAACACAACAACACAAACGAGCAAAATACAAGAATGGCCAACCTGAAACTAATAAATATATGTACAATATATAATAGTGTATGCATTTCTGGATGTGAGACCTTATGATTATAATCTCTGTAGATTTCCATACTTTTTGTATAGCTTTTCTAATGCTTACGATTCTACATGTTTATGGAAGTTCGCAACAAGGTCAGCAATGGGGGTTGCATGTAATCAGTAGCATGTTTCAAGTCCATTTCAAGCAAAGAATTTGTTCTTTTACATTGTGTTTACGAGTTCAGCCTCGTGTAAATGCCTCAGCAGTTCCACCCCCACAATGCTTTAAAGTAGCTTTTGATGTTTTTAATGATAAGTTTGTCAGGTGAAAAATTTCAAACAGTGTTTGAGAGGACTTCAGCTGACTTTGCAACAGTGTTTAAGTTTATAGAGCTTCACAGCAAACTGCATATGTATAAATGGCTGTCTGTCCCTCAGTGACACATAACTCATTTGGTTATTTGTGTCATTTGAGGATTTAGCAAATGACTAGATGTGTAAGATCACAACTTAATACATCTAAGACCTGTAAAGCAGACTGACTGTTGAACAGGAAAAAAGTAAAGGGCACAGTGTTGGAGTAATAGTAATAACAAATCTGTATAAACACAGGGTTCCTGCAACTGACACTGCTTGGGCCTTTAAATAATATCATTACTCAATAAATGCTAGTTAGTTAAAACTGTTATCATCTGTCTGGATAAATATGAGTGAATGAATGAACACGTTTAGCTCTACTTTAACCTGTTCACTGTTTGTTCCTCGTTGTCTTCTTTTATAGACGATCGTAAAGATGGAACAATAGCAGAACTGCAGGAACAGCTGAGAGACGTGATGTTTTATCTGGAGACCCAGCAGCAGATTGAACATCTTCCACCAGAGGCTCGCAGCGAAATTCAAGAGGGACAGATCAACATCCCAGCCAGCCCATCTGACGGCGCTCTGGGTTCGGCAGGAGCAGGCCCTTCCTCTGGCAGGGGCAGAAGAGGCCGAGGCAGGAAGAGGAAGTAGTCATGGCCTAAACTCAACTGGAACATGCTAGAAACTGTGTTGCTGCTTCTCACTGTGGACATGTTTGTGACTGAGCCCAGCCCTTTATTCAATGTGTATCTGCATTATTGTAATTCTTAATAGGGTAAAGGCAGGAAGAAGGAGTAAATGTTGATAATATTTACCTGCACATTTTCCTAGCATAACTCCTAGCTCCTACAAGAAGAGCATAAGAGAGGATCGCTCAGTCACTCAAAACATCAGTGTGATCTAAATGTCCTCTTCTCTTTCCAAAACTTAAAAGTATATATTTTGATCACAATTTATATTTATTTGATCAGAAATATTTCATCTGTGCCCAGGTAGTACCATATTATAGTACTTCTTTTCAAACACTGCGTGATCTTTTTATTATCTTAAAATGCAAAGATGGTTCTTTTACAAGTGAGAGAAGAATCAAGGAAATTTATGTCCACATTTTCTGAGTTTTTCCTTCATTTCTTTGGACTCGGCTGTTTCATCTGTTATGTTCCAATGTTTTTTTTTGTTTCTCTTTTTGTTCCTCCACTTTAAGTAGAAACACTCGTCAGAGAACATGGAGGAGAAAATGCCTTTTTCAGCAGTGCATTGTATTGGGACAGGAGTCAGTGTTCACAGAATGCACAGTATTTTTGTATGAGGAGCAGGAAGCATGTTTTGCCATGTTTTCACCATCTAGGTTAGTGATTCCCAACCACTAGTACAACTTGTGTACCTCAGAGGATTCTACAGCATTACCAGGAAGTAGTTCAAAGGATTGTGTATGTTTGCTAATGATTTATTGAAACTATGTGGCTCCTTCCATCAATCTGTATTGTCCCAGTATCCCTTATTTTCCAGCTAATTTCCTGGAAATCTTTCTCAGAATTTCTCCCATAATATTTCCAAGACTGTAGTTATTGACTCTAAAACTAAAGTCTAATATGATTTTTTTTTTTAATTTACCCTTTAAAACTCTTAATATTACTGGCTGCTATTCTATTATTCCTCCATTTAAAGATGATTTTAAATTACAAATATTGTGCCATTTGATGACATTGACCTTTGGCTCTAAGACATTATGATAAGCATCTGTATTATTATGCCATATAAACATTAAGATTTTCAGAGAAATTATTAAAATAACCAGGGTACATTAGTTGTACCCTGGTTATGTGTTAAATACAATACCAGAAAAACGCCAGAAGCAACTGTGACCTTTGCAGTTACAATCCTGAACATGGTGTCATAACCTAGATGATGAAATAAGTGACTCAGCTCCCTCCTTGAATACTAAGATTTTTTTCCCTTGCAAAATGTTCACAATAAAGTTTTAGATGAATCCCTAAGGCCTTAATTAAAAACTGGTGCAGAAAGCACACATTGATATTTTTTTTTTATAAACAGCCACTCAAAAGATCATTCTATGCAAAAGATTCTTTACAGCCCTCTAAAAGGAACATAATAATTTCAAAAATATGAGATTTGCTGTCAGTTATTTGAGATGCTAACTGTGACATTGTCTGACAAGATATTTCACGCATATAGCCAGTGACGGCCAACAGGAACCAAGCTTGCTGGTTACTGTTGTTTGTAGACATGAGTATAGTATCGCTCTCGAAAGTTAAATGAAAAGATGTTTTTCCACAGTGATCATCAAGAGAAAAGCTGGAATGTACCTGTAGCGACTGCTTTGAGAGAGGAGATAAAGAGCTGTTTTTTTCAGCCATAGAAGCTTTCATTTAAAAACAAAATACGGTAAGTCATGCTCCTGAAAACATCCGTTCATGCTGGGGTTTTGTTGTTTGTTTTATTGCCATGAAAGTGTTCAGTTTTTTGTTGTTAACACTAAAACTGTGCTGCCACTTTCAATAAAACATTTTCTAAAGTTTTTCTTGTTCTGGGGTAAAAAGTGTGTTAAGCTGAAACAGATGCATACTAGGTTGCCGTCAAGTGACGAATGATCTTTGTTGAAATGACATACTACGCAGCTGTGATGTTAAAGTGCAGACTGTCAGATCTAACTAATCCTTCTGCAGTCTACTACATTCACAGTTTATTACCAGCAGCCTGTTGAAAGTAAACTGTGTACATAGTTGGAAAACACAGACACGCTGACAGATTAAAAAGCTTGGTCTTCGTAGACACACCATCTACCTGGTAATTGGCATGCATTTCTCTCTACACTCCAAGACAAGTTTTAGGAACATGTCATTTGTCACACTATACCTCCCCCCTGATGACATTTCAATCCTGTGCCTGTGTTTAGTAACAACTGTAGTCACAGGCAAATGATACTGCATGCAAACATTTTCCACACCTTTTATTTTTCTATTTATATCCCCAAGTATGGCCTCTAATGTTTCATCAGCCAGTGGAACTACAAGGGTCAGACATTTCAAGTTATTGATTAATCCTTGAGGAAAAATCATCAAATCAGGAGCAAGCTGGTTACAGTTTCCAGCAGCCCTAAATGTCCCCAAATATTTCCCTAAACAACATTTACAATCATATAGAGAGGAAATAAATGCAACGATTATTGGGGTTTTCTCTATGTTATTATAGGGTCTTTACCTTACACCTTGTGGCAGCTGTTGTGATTTGGCGCTATATAAATAAAATTAAATTGACTTGAATGTGTGGTCTAAATTTAAGGAAAACAAGCCTCCTGAAATCTTCCTTACATCAAGTATATGAGATCTTTTGCACCAATATACAAATAAGTCCACCGTGATAAATGCTAATGAGAAACAAAGTCTGTGGGTTCTCGTGAGATGATTGACATTTCCCGTTTCTCATTACTGGCATAGCCAAGAAGAAACCAAAACCACGTCAACAAATTCTGAACGCATTGTTTGTTGACTTGATTACCAGCAGTTAAAAAGATATGTGTGTCACCTAAGATATCATTTTAATCGTGGGAATGAAAGTACTTGGGGTACATTTGAGCTGTTTTCTAACCACGTGTGAAAGCTGATAGCTAACTGTGAAAAAGCCTGAGCTGCAGCTGGACAGAAGAATGCGAGAATAAAAGAGGAAGCCAGAGGAGGAGCCAGCATATGGCCGAGAACAGGATTTAGAGGGAAAGGCTCTTCCTGAGTTGAGCTGTTGACTATATGGACGTTTTCTCTGCTCTCACCGCTGTGCTGAGCTATGGATTAGTCTTGCACTAAAATTCTTTTTTTTTTTTAGATGCTTTAGACACGTATAAAGGTAAGTACAAAAAACCTTTTTTTGCCTAACAGCTTTGCAAGCAGAGTGTGCAGCTTGGTGAATCAACTGTTGTGTATGTAAAATACAAAGACAAAGAAAAAGGTTTTAGAAGGATACTAACTTTCTGCGTGAGGCTCATTTGTGTATATTTGCTCAACTTTCCACGGCCAAAACACACGAAACAAGAAAGAACTGCTCACTACAAAGAGATATTTTTGTAAAGTCAACTTCATGAGCAATAAAATCTCTGGCATGCCGTATCTTTCAGGTGGAAAAGACTAGAAAGATATGAAAGAGCACAGATACAGTCTTTCTACCCTCACGTGCTGTCCTGAATTCTTTTATGCTGAAGTAAAAGAGGCTTGGACACAGGGGTATTATAACTTTTCCGGAAATGACGCTGCCTCTTTGCCAAGATGAACAAGCCAACTCAGATTCCAATCATTGTTCATGTGCTCTGCTCAGTTCTCATTGACATTAATGCTGGCACCAAAAACTTTTAGCAGAAGTTATTTTCTATCCTGTAGTGCGATTGTGTTAATTTATATGTGACACTTGTCTGCTGTCTTGAGCTCTTCTGTAACTCACTTAAAGTTCCTCCTTTCCTATAGCCTGTGCGCTATAATACTGCAGACGGCCTTTGCGCTACAGTTTCTGTGTGTGCAGAATACCCAAGGGAGTACATCAAGTACACCATCAGAGGGTCAACCTGACAGCCTTTGATGACCAAAAACGGTTACAAATGCAAGCTTGTAACCACAGCCTACTTCAGAACCTCAAGCGCACGAGTTTGCAGAACTTATGAAGTTTAAGATTCCTGTGAAGGTTGCACTCACTTGTTTGCGTTTTGGTTTGCCATAGAAGGTTCTAGTAGAGGGTTCACTTCACTCTTCGTGGAACAACATTTCCAAAATGAATCTGAATATTGGTTTTGAAGAAAAACAAAACAGCTCTGTGAAAAAACCCCCAAAACAAACCCATAAATAAATGAAAAAAATACAAAAAAATCAGCCTAAAATATTAAATAGATTAATTAAATTCAATAAAAATGTAGCATACTAAACATCAAAAGGAACAGTGATCTTTATCTTCTAACCCTACCGGAAATGCTGGCTACATTTTTAACAGCCACTGAAGCTGCATGTGTCATCCTTCTTTTGTTTTTCTTCACTGTTATATCTGCAGCTATTTCTCACATTTGGTCTCTCTTCCTTGCCATTTTTGACACCCTGCTGTTCTCAGAATTCATTTCCTCACGTGCAAATTTCATGCAGCTGTGAGTTCCAGTATGCTTCAAAACATAGGAGCAGCTGTATTGTTAGTGTCTTCTGACGTCCACCACTTCAGTATCTAATATCAGCGTGGGGTTAGCGTGGGAGGATCTTACTTAAATTGAGCAAAGATTTTTTTTTTTTTAAGAGAAAGGAGGACTGGGTGTATAAGTTGAGCTCTTCTTATTTGGATGCTTAGAAAGTCCTTTCTTTTTCATGAACACTAAAAATAAAGATATACTGTATATATAATTAAAACATGGCAATATTTCAACACTTATGTGTTTTTTACAAAAGTTACAATAGATTAGCGAGTGCCAGTAGATTATCTTGCTGTGTCTAAAAATCCACTGCTTCTACTGGTGAGATTAAAAGTGTACTGTATATGTAGCAGCCTAGCTTCCCCCTGTTTCCAGTCATTTCATGCTAAGTTTATGCTAATTGGCTCTTGGGGGGAAAGTTCCAAACCCATATGATACTGGTATCAATTTTGTCATCTATGGCTCATGCAAAACTTATACCAAGGGATACAAAACAACCATAGATATACAGAAAATGACGATAAAGCTAGAATACACTAACTTAGCAAAGAAGAAAATAATGTGTATTTCATCTAGTAAATAAGCTGACATTAATACAGTGCACATTTAGCATTGCTGTTCAATAAATTTTCAGTACACAGTTTTTATTTGACAGGGTAACATAATAGAGCATGGCTGCTTAAAGACAGATATTTCCCCAATAAATGCAAAAGTCTTAATTTCTTTATGAAAATGAGAAATAGAAGCAAACTGAAACTTGCAAACATCCATGGAAATGCAGTATATAAGGAGAAAAAAAGTTGTACAATTCTATTGAGCTTGAAAGTCGAAGTCAGTATTTTAATTGACCACCTTTATGCTTCAACACAGCTTGAATTCTCTTAAGCAAGCCTTCTCGTAATTACTTTAACCTCCTACGACCCGAACTCTTCCACAGCATGCATTTTTAATTTCTCTTTGATATTTGGGCATATTGGGGCCCGATGAATGTAAAAACAAAGAATTACCAGTTTTTTTGTTTTTTACCTTATTTTTATTTTTAAGAAAAATAAGAGCCACATATGAGGATATTCGTTTAAAAGTATTTTGGTCTAAATAACCCAAAATGTGATGTCCACATATGTGGATGCCAGGGAGGTTAAGTAGTCTTTAGGAATGGTTCTCCAGCCTTCTTGAAGGACATTCCAAAGCTTTTTGGGTTTTGGCTGGCTTTGGTTCCATTTTCTGTCAAGATTATCCTGCACTGCTTTAATAATATTAGGACTGCGCTCTTGATCAGTCCAAGACTAATACTAATACTAATGGTATTCCAGCTATCAAGGTATACGTTGAATGCAATAGCAGTGTGTCTGAGATCATTATTCAGCTGAAAAACAAAACTGTTGCCAGTCAGATGCTTCCAAGATGGTATTGCATAGTGGATCAAGATCTGATGGTATTTTTCTGCATTTATAATTTCATAAATTGTGACAAGATCCCCAACACACTAGGTGAAATGTAGTCCCAAAATATGTCAGAGCCACCATCAAGTTTTATAGATGCCCGTAGATACTCACTCTTCCACCTCCACGCATACCGACGATATATACAGAGTCAGTGTTGCCATTAATTTCCAGTTTCCAGTTCTTGTGTAATTTTATTATATCTCAGCCTGTTTTTCCAGTTTCTAAGTGACAGCCACCCTTCCACTGAAAGCATTTCTAATGAGGCTTCAGCGAACAGTAGATGGATCAACTGAAAGGCCAGATGCATCTCTCAGGTCTTGTGTCAGGTCTTTGCTGGAGTTTTTCCTATTTCGTAAGGACATGACTTTCAGATACCATTCATCTGCAATCGATAGTTTTGAAGGCCTGCCACTTCTTCTTTTGTCCTCTGCTTGTTCCGTTTCCTCAAATTGTTCACGACACACTGCAAACCATGCTAACGTATGCGAGAATATCTGACAGATATAAGTTTTTGGCTGATAAAAATCACCTTGCTGGTGAAAAAAAAATAGATTTTTTTTTTTATTTTATTTTTTTTTACATCATCCGTTTCGTTTCTTGTTCCTATGTGAGCATGATGAGTAAGATATTATTAACCCTGATTCTTGGGCCAGTCTGGGGAAGCAGAAAGGCAACACTGAAAACAGAAACCCCCTTTTCAGGTAAATAAGAAGACTAAAGCCTTCAAAACCACTATTAAAGGAAACTTTGGAGGAAGTTGATGTCTTGCGTCATAGGGACTGGAATCAAAATTAAGATTAGGGAAAATGAGTTTTCCCCAAAACTGGATTTCTCATTGCTGATTCTATCATATTAAACTGGTGCATAAAAATGTAACATGTTTTTATTTTTTGTTCAAAGCACAGAAAATAAGCTGAAACGTTCACATATCCTATACATAGGTTACACATTGCTAAAAAGCAATCAAAGAAAAGATTTATAACATAGCAAAGTTGAATATCTGAAAAATATGTTCCGTTATACACTCAGCACTTGGTTGTGGGCTCCTCTGCTGCAGAGTTTTTACTGGTCATGGTCAGCAAACCATTAGTAGTAGTTTTGGTACCGTGGGCACGTGCTGAGTCCTGTCAGAAAAGTAAAACTGGTTACTCCATACAGCTTTTCAGCAGCACAAAGTGCTCTCAAATCTTCTGGTAGATGGCTGCATTACATTTGGACTTGGTAAAACACAGTGGACCAATCATCAGCAACACCAGCAGATGGATGGTTCCTCAGATTATCACAGACTGTGGAAACTTCACACTAAACTTCAAACACCTTGAATCTGTGCTTTTCCACTCTTCCTCCAGAATCTAAGTTATCCAAAAATGCAAAGTTTACTTTGACCTAAGTAGAAGACTTTGGACTACTGTGAACTTTTTAAGATGCACTGGTGTAGTTTCTTCAAAGTCCTTTATTTCCTCTCTGCAGATGAGTGACCGAGACAGCAGCATCTCTGCCTCTCAAACAGAGGGAGAATTCGAGGGAGAGATGGATGAAGAGCTTGAGGGAGACACGGAGATGGAAGAAGAGAAAAGTGAGAATGGGAGAGGCAGTCCGGCCCCCAGTCTCTCCAACATCTCCTCCACTCTGCGCGCCGTTATACGCATCAAACAGAAGTACCACGCGATGAAGAAACGGCGTCAAGAGATGGCCCTGGGGGGCCAGTGTCCCCTCACAGGCGCCCCAGGACGAACCAGCCCCAAAATCTTCACCTTTGATGGAATCACCCCCACTGCCTTCTCCTCTCCATCATCCAGCATCCCACAGAGGAAGAAGAGGAGGAAGAAGAAACGGGTGTTGTTTCCCGAAGGAGGGAGACGAAGGGCTGCACCAAAGCAGGACCGCAGCCGAGCCAAATATTGCCTGTATCTGCTCTTTGCCATCGTCTTTCTCCAGGTAAATAAATAACAACACATTTTCCAACAAGTGGTGGAATGCTTCTCTAATGTGCTCCTCTGACCTTTTTCTGCTGCCATTAAGAATTTGATTTACAAAAACATTGAATGAATGAATGAATGAATAGCTTCCATTATTATGACTCATCTCTTGCTAGTCTGCTTCTTTTGTCGCCAGCTACAGTATAAATAGGGAGGGCGGGAAAATTGTGCTATCTTCAGCTCATGTGTATGATTAAATATAGACCTTCTACTTGCTCAGTCATGTCCTAATTCATTCAGACGAGAAATACAACATGCCATGAATCAGTCTAAGGTGTGTTCATCTTTGAGGAACCTTGAGGCACTGTTCAGCAGAGATTGGTTAATCCAGCCGTCACCGAGCTGCTTTATTGTCACGTGTATCTTGCAGCTTTGTTTATGGTTTATTTTGCCATTTCAAATGTAAATATTTAAAACTGGTCCAAGTGTATTTCCTGTTCTAGTTTGCCAAAGTGAGAAGCTGGGCGGAAATCACTCTCAGCTGTTTGCCGTATAACTCCAAGGAGATAATCTGTATATCAGTATATTTATATATTTCTAAAGATATACAGTCATGCCAAAAAGAACATTTTCACAGAACGCCATATAGTCCTGTGAATGTAGTATTTATACAGTAGTATGCTTGCTGAAATTTGGATACTCTATAAAAAACACATATTTGGTGGAGTGAAATTGAGGTTTAAAAACTGTAAGAAATATGGTCCCTTCGAGGACATAGCCACACACCTCACTGTCTAATCACCCTGCATATTTAATACTTAGTGCAGAAATATTATTATTAACAGTTTAATTTCAAAATTAAATAATTCCGTATACTATTAATTAAATTGGATTTATGACGTTAGCAGTAGACTGGCTGCTACGCAGAACTTTTCTGCTTAAACACTCAAAGTAGAACAACTGTCATTCACACATGCATTCCTATCTAAAGATTCACACTGATGAATACATCAGGAGCAACTTTGGATTCAGTATCCTTGGGCAAGATAATCAATCTAGAACAACTATAGTCTTCTGTTAAGCAGATGATGTGCTTTGCCTCCTGAGCAACAGGCACCCCTACTTTCACTTCGTAACGCTTCATAACGCATGCGTCTGTAAACGTGTCAGTTATTTCTTCCCCAACACAGCAGTAGATTGTGTTTTACCTTTGGCAAAATTTGAATTGCTAATATATGAATTGATCTAGTACAATAAACTGTGTAACACACCAGGAAATTGGGGGTTTTCTTTTGTTTTCAATAAGAAGATGTTTTTTTTAAACTGTATATTCTGACATATCTGGAAGTTTAATGATTGAAATTCAACAAGTTTATTAGCATTATATTCTACATTTATTTAAGTACACAATTGTTCTTCTTTTTAAAACCTTCTGAAGTTTCACTTTATATGTAATACTGTCTATATAAAGGTTCAAGGACTGCAGATGAGTCTAAAATAATTCTTTGTTTTCAGTGTTCTTGGTCCAAGGAGTGCATCCATTTTTAATGAATCCTCGAAATGCCCCTGCACTCGGCTATATTCTTAATAGCTGTGGTTTGTTTCTTTCAGGTCTACAACGCCATAGAGAACCTGGATGACCACGTTCTTAGATATGACCTGGAGGGATTAGAGAAGACACTGAGGAGGGAAGTGTTTGGGCAGCAGGGAGCTGTGGAGAGCCTGCTGTCCCACCTGAAGGACTACCTGTCTACCTACGTCCACAACAAGCCTCTGGTGGTATCCCTGCACGGCCCGACCGGGGTAGGTAAGAGCCACCTGGGACGCCTACTGGCCGGACATTTCCGCTCCGTGGTGGGTGACACGCTTGTGCTGCAGTACTATGTGCTCCACCACTGCCCCCAGGAGGCGAACGCCCTGCAGTGTGCCAGTGACCTCTCAGCTCAAATCTCGGAGATGGTGGAACGAGCCGAGGAGGAGGAGAAAATTCCGCTCTTCATCTTCGACGAGGCAGAGCACATGCACCACGAGATCCTAGACACGCTGTTGCAGCTCGTGTCCTCCAACCAGTCCAATGAATACCTGAATGCTATTTACCTGTTTCTAAGCAACCTGGGTCATGCACACATCACCAAACATATGCTGCACAACTCTTCGAGTATTTCCATGGCGATGACAGCATCAGGTCGTCATAGCAATCTGGTAAAAGAGCTGACTCCTATTTTACGTAGCATGCTGGAAGAGCTTCACCCGCTTTGGACAGAGGCTGATATCTTACCTCTCAGTCTTTTGGAGAAAGGTCACGTAATGGAGTGCTTCCTGGACGAAATTACTCGAGAGGGATTCTACCCGGATCATGCTAACATAGAGCGGCTTGCGGGGGAGATTGACTACTACCCTGCAGTAGGGGGGCACGAATATTCCCAGACAGGCTGCAAGCAAGTGGTGGCTAAAGTCAACCTGCTGTGACATGCTCTTGTTTGCATTCTTTTAAACATGAAGAAAAGGGATTGAATTTACAATTATGAAACTTGAATGACACGATTCAAAGCCAACGCTTTTAAGAGTGGTTTTGTAAGAATGTAATAAAAAAAATTCACACACAAAAAGGTGGGGATTTTAAACTTTGTTGGGGGAAACAAGGAATAAATTTGGTGAACACTAAAACTGCGGCAGGCAGTCCCTGAAGGGTGGGTTCACCCAGTCTACATAAATAAAAGATGATTTAAGTTCCCTGTTGTTGTATCTCCCAAATACCTCTGAATAGCTGCATAGAAACAGGAGAACACCTAGACATCAGTACAGTGCTGGTTCACAGAGGATATTTCAGTAACTCCAGGGACAGTTCACTTAGCACTACCAGTAAGTAAAATGTAACTGTCTAATTAAACCAATCCAAACACTTAATGAACTGGCACAAAGGTATGTTCAGACATTCAGACACTGCTATGAGTTTCTGGTTTGACCACCTTGACATTTGGAGCAGACACAAAAGAATCTGGGAGGATAAATCCCACTGACTGTTCTTCTGTATACATAAATCAGGCCTGGGCTGTGGTCGAAACCCTCAGTTATTGGACTGTGCTTTAAATCAGGCTCTAGGTGCTGTCCCTTGCCTACAGATTGAGTATCAGTCAGTGTCTGTTACACTCATGGTGAATTTTTTTAAATTGATTTTTAAATGTGGGGCATTATAAAAGCAGCTCTATCTAGTCATGAATGCTAATAAAGAAAAACAAGTGAAGGATATACACCTTACTAATGGTCTTTTGTGGTATTGAGAAATCTCCTGGATAAGGATAATAACATGCACTGGAGCTGTGTAAAATTAATATTCACTCATTTATGAAGGAGGAAGTTCATAATGCAAAAGTTACTAATACCTATTACAGGATGTTCACAGGATGTGTGACAGATGATGCAAGACAGCGCAAGAGCACATGGTAGCAAAGTGTCTTTGAAGGCAATCAATATATTTGAAGTCTGGTCTCTGGTAGGGTCATCCAAACAAAGACAGCACTGATGGGCATCACCATATATGTTAAATTGGACCCATTATATTTTTCCTTATTTTCTTTTATATAATAATATTTTATTTATTTTCATTATTTCATTATTTTTATTTTACTTATACTATATATAAATTCCATATATATATATATATATATATATATATATAAGTTACATTGGAGGATGATCATACTAAATGTATTTGCATAAAATGACATCAATGTAGTGCTCTAAATGCTCTTTCTGTTTTTTTCCTGCTCTTCTTGCTTCTGATGTTAATTAGAATTGGTATGGGAAGACAACTTTGAATGGGAAGGAGCTAAAAACCTCGTTCCAGACAGTGGAAGAATTGAGGGGCTCCACCAAAGCCCAGCACAAGTAAACCGTGAATCATGTAAAGGTACTAAATCAAAGTACAAGAACTTGCTAGTACCTGGGTGGAAATGACCATATTGTTTAAGGTATCTTTCAGTCCAATTGATATCAACTTTATGTGCAGAATTCACCACTTTAAACACCAACACTATTCTTGATGCAAGTGCAACTTTAAAAGAATATTTTTATACTTTAAGAAATCTGTTTTCTTCTCAACAGACATGGCACGAAGGATAGCGCATAACATTTGTTATGAAGCTAGTAGCACAAACTAGCTAGCTCAGTTTAGCAATAAGGTGGCTACAGATTAACAACTAGCTTAACAGCCCCATGTAAAGATAATTGCTTTAAATTATAAGGAACAATAAGCTATCAGGTATAATTACATAAAATAGATTTTGTTATTAACATTCATGTCATGTGTGGTAATGGTAGTAAGGGTACATGTATTTTGGCCTGACAACTGTTACAAGCTTCTCTATTTGGGTATGTAATGGCAAAGAAAATGACTCCTACATTTCAGTTAGATCCAATCTTCACTTGTTATTTAGATCTTTAAAATCCCAAGATAGTAAAAGTCATGCTCAGCTCAGCTACAGCTACAGAAGCCTGGGCACCACTGCACTGTAAGAGCAATATAATACTAAATACTGAAGGCATTAATTGAGACAAAGAATTCAATTCATTAATAGGTGCTGTTTTCCCTTTTTTTTTATTATTAGAGTTCTCTTAGTTTACACTGGAAAAAATGAGGTACTGTGTCTATGTGACAAAGAAAAGAAAGTCTCATAATAATAATAATAATAATGACAACATAAGATGAACAAGAAACACATTCTGATGCAGGATTTCCAACCAAAGTAACAGGACAGACATCTGGGGACACAACACTCCTCAAGTGTTTCAACTGGAATTACTTGGAGGACAAGCACCTGTACTTTAATATACAGAGCTTAAGAGTGGAGATAGTTTTGAAGACACGATCACTGACAGCAACGAGTGAGGTCCCCGAGCAACATGAGGAAACAGCTGGCAGTCAAGTTAAGATAACTGGTGCCTCTGAGATACAGAAGCAAAATAGCCTCACTTTCATTGTGACCGCTGAGCTGAGACAGATAGATGAAAACAACACTGTAGAAATGTAAAAACACAAACAAACCCAAAGAGCTACCAGAAGATTCCATTATGTTGATTTCACCTACCAAAAACAGAAGTCACAAAGGGCTAAAAAAGCATTTTGAGACATGTGCAAGAATAGATCTAACATCGTTCATGTCGTCATTCCAGAAATCGGTCTTTAACTTCATCCACCACTACTTCAATATTTAATGATATGTGTTGTATGAAAACAATGACATGGATTAAATAGTCCTTGGATTGCAGCAAAAAAAGCCAAAACCGTTCAAATGGATACAAAAATAAAGCGACGACAGACACTCTGCACCTTTTTTAACCAAGCAAATAAGCTTTAAGCTCTGCATCCAACCCTTCATTTGACATGCTTTTAGGAATGCAGTAATAACTCAGTACTGAAGCTTTAAATGAGCTACACATGTACACCAACAACTACTTCATTCAAGACCTACAGGGAAATAAATAGTTATTTCAAACGCCATAAAAACAATTCCCCACAACTATGCACCGCCAGTTTCAGGATCAGCCACACAACTTTTTAAGCATAATGCTAAGACTTGACTATTACTGTCAGAAATGCTCATCAGAAGTATGAACAAGGGAGGGGTGTGTGAGGGAGAGTCCAGAGACAAGAGAAGGAGACAAGTTATCGTGATAGGAGGGTGCCGAAAACTAAGTGCTGAAGTGGGCTTCTTCTTCTTTATTGGTAGGTTTCGTGTTTACGCTTCAACCTCGAAGCCCATGCCGACTTTGTGTCCGCCGGCGTTGAAGTTCTTGCCATCAATGAGAGCTGAGAGGGTGACCTTAACACCTGCACAGACACAGTCATAACGTTGTAGATACACTTTCAATTTTAGACCTGTTCAAAAAAGTTGACATGGGGGCACGAGTATCAGTGCGTCTATCCTATCCTAACTATCCTGTATAAGTGTGTGGTGTAAATTTCAAAGCACATGGTTTGCCCCTTCTTGCTTGATCAAGATCTTAACTCCTGAATTTCTTAGTCAAGGTTGCCCTCACAAGCTTCAAATTTTCGATCGACTGAAACGGGTTAAAATAAAAACATTTTGTACAACCAAACAAGTTGTTATGCTGTGTAACATGTAAATAAAACAAAGTGCAATGACTTGCAAACATCATAAACTCATATTTTATTCACACTAGAACATTAAAAAAACACAAACATTTCAAATGTTTACATTTTACTATTTCATGAAAACTATTAGCTTTTAATTTGGTGGCAGCCATACATTTCAAAATAGCTGGGACAAGAGCAAAAGGTCAATAACATGAGTATGGGGGTATGGGTATAAAGAGAGCATTTCAGAGAGCTAGAGTTTCTAAGAAGTAAAGACAGGGAGATATTTGAGTCTGCAGGGAAAAAAAAGTTGATATTCAGAATATTTTTAGAATAATGTACTTTAATTTTACGTTAAGATGTAATATATAATTGTGAAGACTTTGAATATCTCAGGATCTAAAATGCACCATTAATAGGGAAAGTTCTATGGTTTTAGTAAACAGACAAGATCTTTTACAGGGAAGAGCGTTCATGGTTCAGACTGTGCTAAACTCCATACTGTATATGTTACAGGAGCATGGCTTCATATTTGAAGATTCTAGCTGCTTAACTGGCCTGTCTGCAGTCTAGACCTTAAACCATAGGTGTCAAACTCTGGCCCGCGGTCCAAATTTGGCCCGCAGCCTAATTACATTTGGCCCGCGAAGCCATACCAAATTACTATTAGAGCTGGCCTACTGGTATTATACAGCTAATATATATATTGTTTAGTATTAAGCTTTGCTTGTTCCATATTCAGTTTTTCAGCAAAACTTGTTTGAGTCCATAAGAAAAGATTCATTCTTATATCTGGAGGAAGATTTTTTTTTCAATAAATATTAATGTTAGCCCGCGACTTTGTTCCAGTTTTGAATTTTGGCCCACTGTGTATTTGAGTTTGACACCCCTGCCTTAAACCAACTAAAAATATTTGGTGCATCACAAACTGTTGTTTGCTTAGAATCATATATGCAACAAGAATATGAAAACATTCCCCTCGCAAATGTCCAGCAACTGGTTTCCTCATTATCTAGACATTAACGTACTACTGTGTTACTGCCATCAAATTCATTATGACCTATTTTTTTTCTTAGAATTTTTATACTAAACTTAGTTTAAACAAGTGATTTTTTTTACTTTCTATTCTGAATAAAAATTCAGTTTGTGAGATTTGCAAGTCATGGATTTACATATTATATACCATTGTATTGTATGGTCTTTACCTTACAATATAAAGCGCCTTGAGGCAACTGCTGTTGTAAATGGTGCGACATAAATAAAATTGAATTTAATTGAAAGATATCAGTTTTTTTGGAAATGGGGTTGTATTTTTAGACAACCAATATCTTCCTGTGTAGGTTGGGAAAGTATTTTGCTGGGTGCCAATGGCACAGTTGAGGAAGGTAACTCACCTGGTCGAAGGCTCTGGGTGTAGCCTATTCCGATCAGACTGGCATTGTTCACTTTGGCCTGTAGGGGAAACATGACAAGGCGTCAGACACAACAGCACAATGGTTTGTGAGAATATGCTTCAGCAACAGTGCATGTGAATGTGAAGAGTCAGTCCTCACAGACAGAGAGGCATCTTTGTCCAGCTTGTATTTGGCAGCAATGCCGAAACGAGTGTTGTTGCTGCCAGCTGTCCAGGCCAGAGTAACCGCTGTCTCCAACTCGTCATTTACCTTTTGGTAGATGGAGCCGCCAAACTCAGTCCCGTCATTACTGAGAGAGAACAGACATTTATTTACTTAAGCAAACAGAAGTCTATGCTGCAGACCAGTCTCCAAATTATAAATTCATCCCTCTTTGTATTCCACTTATGACAACCCATAATGAAATTAGTAACTGATGCCCAAAAATGTGTTTTAGGTCACTGGGACAATTTGCCACTAAATTCAAATCAGTTCCAAGTGAACATTTCCATGAGAAAAGTCTGGTTCGAGATGGGAGGAGACACAAATCCTGTGGGGTAGTTGCTCTTGGGGTAGAAGGGTAGAGGGGTAGAAGCAAATCAAGTCCAATATGAGGATATTCTGTCTGTGGGTTTGAACAACCTTTAAAAAAAATGCTTCCACCCAGCAGGTTTTTGTGCAGAGCTTTGACTACAGCAACAGAAGTTAGATATGTGATGCCCATGATTTGAAAAGCAACAAAGCATCTTCACAAACTGTTTATGTACGTATGTAAAATCACTCACACATTGGTGTGAAGCTGGAAGTCCCCGGCCCTGTATCCGAGTGCAAAGTT